ACATGTCTTATCAGTTACATAAATAAAAATAAGACAAATAATATTCAAAATAAAGCAGCAATATCAAAAATACAATAACAAAATAAAAATGACATAAGACTTCGCAAATTGCACATGAATAGAGATCATATTTCACATTCAAGAAAAAAAAATAATTAATTGCATTTTATGACGAATATTAAATGACCTCTTCCCTTTTAATGGGAAACCTCCCCCGTGCTAATTTGTATCGAGAAAAAGACCTTGTAAAGAGTCGTCTAAGAATAATAAGATATCACAACGCAATATTCTCGTATGCGAGCACTTTTTACCTCTGCTTTTCTTATACATTAGATTCTGTTAAAAATAAAAAAATGAAATTGCACATTTTATTGCTTACGCCCAGCAGCGTTTCGTAGCCAATTTCTGACTGCATTTAAGGCATCTTCCAAATCACTGGTAGGAAATTTTAATAGCATAACTCCTAGAAAAAAAAGAAATATTTATGAATTTTTTCTACAATAAACTTAAGATGAAACAAAATATTGAAAAGAAGATAAAATACCTTGAAATAATTCCCATAGTTTCAGTTTCTTAAATGGCCTTTTATTAACTTTAGCCTTTTGAGGATTATGACCATCAAAGTTGAATTGTTTCGCTAAGGAATTAGTCATCAATTTGGTCATAAGTCTTGATGCTACAATTTTTTCATTATCACCTAACGGTTTTGTAGCTTTTAGGTAAGATGGGAAACAATACTCTCAATCTACGAAGTAAATCATTTAACTTCTTCATAGATAACACACCTCCTTCAAGGGCCCACTCCCTCAATGTTTTTAAAACATAGCGTCCTCTCTGTTCGTCATTTTCAAATTCAATCATTAAATCATCATTTTCTTCATCGTTACTATATCTGTTAGCATCATTAATTTCAACACTTCCTTCGCTGTCATTATTCTCATCTTCAAAATGTAATTCACTGTCATTGTCATTATTATAATTATTGTTATCATCCATATTTTCATTTTCAAGTTGATCGATAGATGCATCAGATTCTGTTGATACTTCAGAATTTGTTTCTAATAAAGAAATATCTTCAATCCCTGGAATGGGCAGCATTTCATTATTCTCTTCATCGGATGAAACCTTTTCATTGGATGAAACCTCTTCATCGGATGAAACCTCTTCATCGGATGAAGCCTCTGTCTTGTAGACAGTAGTAATTCGATTTCTTAAATCGTCCAATTTTCTTTGATTCCTACATTGCCTAACTAATTCATTAATTATTTGCTTGTTCGTATTTCTACGACGATTCCTACTTTCCTATGATAGATGTAAAAATAATACAAGAACAACATCAGTACTAAAATATATTGCTTATACTGCATTCACAATAATGTTATGTAATAAATTTTGATAATAAACTTTAAATAAATAATAGCAAAAAGAAGCAATAGTGACAATATTATTATTAATAATTCCGTATATGTTGAGGTTAGTTAAAGAGTGAGTTAAAGAAAAGTGTATATATAAGAGCATACAATATTTTTAATTAAATAAATCAAAATAATTTATTAATATATATATAAATTATGAACTATTTATATGAAAATTGTAATTTATTTATGAAACAATTATAACCTACAGACGACTTGAGGCACAAAAGTAAAAAGTAGATTATTAAGAAATTATAAATTATGAAGCACTTACCGGTGGACTTTCACTCATTTTTGTTGGTGATGACTTCTTTATTAGAATAGCAATCGATCCAGCAGACTTATTCTGTAACTTTTAACGCATGCGTTATAACTATAATTCATTTGTTAACCATGAATTCGTCGACGATACGACGACTAACGCATGCGTTACAGTTATAACGCATTTGTTAAAAGTTACAGAATAGGCCTCCAGAAGAACAAATTTATCACAAGCACAGTTCAACATTCAACGAACTTCAACGAATGATCATCGATCACGGAACAATAACAGAATGAGTTCGTTAACTCGTTGCGTTAAGTTGGTACTATATTTAGTCGCAAGGCGGTGTCGCAACTCGCAACTTATCTTTTATACGACAGTTAAATCAAAATAAGCGTTATCGAACCAATCATTTAAATAATTAAAGTTATATTTTCATATAAAGTTTCTCATACATAATTAGTAAATATATATATATAATATATATATAATAATTAATTTACCTTTATTTTTATAATTAATTAATATATTACACACAAAGAGAAATTATACAACACAAATAAAAAAAAATATATATATATATATATATGGATCACATATATATTTTATATATAAATTTTAATATATGTTTTTTTACATGAAAAGTATTTTATTATGGATTAAAATGAAATGTTTATTGATGTCTGGCCTGATTGTTTTAGCAAATAATATCGACGTCTAGTCGACGTCTAATTTGAACTGAAAAAGTTATAGACGTTATTTACGTCTAATCGACGTCGATCCGATTTCTTGTTTCTCCCTGGGATGTAAATCTATACCACCCTATTGTAGAATGTAGTTCAAAATAGAATAATAATTTTATGACTTTTAATTTTATTATTTTCCGTTTTTGTCTGCGTTATATATAATTCTTACAATGAAAACCAAATATGAGAAAGATAATCATCACATAGCGATAAATGAAAAAACTAACAATTTTAATTTTTGAGTTAAAAAATATTTACAAATAATATATCTATATAAATATTTATCTTTATATACATACCATAAATATTTTAATCTATTTTAATAATATGTTAAATAAAAGGTTTTTATAAAACATTTTCAAAATATTTATAATTATAATATTTTAAAAAAATATTATTATAAATATGTATGAATCTTTATCATAAAATTCTGTGCTGTCTGGGGTATATATATAGTTAGTAAATGATTAATATATAGTCAAATTCTTAATTTCGCGTTTTATTGGTAAAACAGACGGCTTTAGATCTCCTTATTATCAATAATAATATTTATTTTTTTGTTTCAAATGTATGTTACTTAAATATAATGACAATAAAGAAACTATTTTATTTACAATACTCTTAAAATTTCAAATGACTATTTCTTCAGTAATTAAAGATTTTACCGTCGTCAACAGTCATACCCCGTTGAACACACCAGTTCTCGTCTGATCACTGAAGTTAAGCAACGTTGGGCATGGTTAGTACTTAGATGGGTGACCGCTTGGGAACACCATGTACCGTTGGCACCTTCTTTTTCTTCTTTTTTTTGCTAATTCAAAATCTTAAAAGAAACATAAAACATTTTTTATATATTATTTGTGATAATCAATTTTATATATTATAAAAATTGTTGTTTACTAAAAGATAAGACAATTTCCATTATTGTTCACTGTTTTTTGAATTCACTATGAATGTCATTTTTCTTTTGAACTAGAAATTAGAACATTCCCCAGACTCTTACTTCTAGGGACTCTAATCCATATATATATATATATATATATATATATATATATATATATATATAGGCTGCGTTCGGAAACTATACACACTCGATGTGGTTTCGTGATTTCAATGGAGAAGTGAAGGGGATACAGGGTTTCTCGGGTGTAAAGTGTTTCCGAATGGATGTGTATATTTGTACGCATTTTGTGTACAATATATATATATATATATATTTATGTAAATATTTATATTTATATTATATTTTATATATATATATATTATAATATATATATTTATATATTGAACAATTATATTCTCGCTTGAATCAAATAACGGGAAATCATTATTCATTGCGGCTTGATGCCATTCTTTTATTAAAGTAATATTTTGTTGATGCATTAAGGTCGGCAAGGGGCCCGGTGAAGACGCCTATCGGCCGGTCTGGAATTGCGGATCCCCACCCCCCGCTTTAGCGCACACTTTTGCATAAGCACATAAGCATATGCATAAGAAATTCGATTGGTTGAATTTCTTATGCATACGTTTTATAGACCAATTAAGATTTTTAAGCGGGGAGCACACACTCTTGCATAAGCGCATAAGCATATGCATAAAAGTCATTCTACAATAGGTAGCAGTATCCTCGTTGCTAATTGACAATTGCCGATTGACCAATGAAAGTAAATTAAGCAACTTGTCAGTTGATTGGTTAATCTGCAACATATATTCACACACATATGTGCATAAGCATATATACAATTTCCAAAAAGTGGGTGCTTATTAGCCTTGCTACGCTACTGCCTTCTGCTAGGAAGGTCAGGGTATCGATTCTGTAACTTTTTTTAAAGTAAAAATGTGAAAAGTGAAAAATTCTCGCCAATCACGCATTGATTTTAAAATGAAATCGATGTGCGATTGGTGGAAATTTTTCATTTTTCACGTTTTAACTTTAGAAAAAGTTACATAATCGATATCCAGAAAGCATTTTCAGGCCGCATCTCGCGTATACCGGCACGGTAGAGGAACAAGGAGAACACGTCATTATCGGTGCTTGTCTCTCTACGGTGCGTCCGCGTGAGCAATGCAATGGTGTATGTACGTGTATAGACATGCATCACTACATAAAACCCGAGAATTGGTTTCTCAGCGTTGACAACACTGAAACCGAAGTTTCGCGTTGTCACCGCGCGAGGTCTCCAACATCAATTCGGAGTCTGGCTGGACCACAGATTAAGAGTCGGCAGTACACCCAGGCAAACTCCGAATTGATATTGGAGACCTCGTGCGGTGACAACGCGAAACTCCGGTTTCAGTGTTGCCAACGCCGAGAAACCAATTCTCGGGTTTTATGTAGTGGTGTATGTCTGTACACGTACATACACCACTGCATCGCTCACGCGGACGCACGTAAGAGAGACAAGGGGTGCGTTCCGTTATGCACTGCAAGTACTGGCAGTACTACCAATAGCGTTCCGATATAGATAGCAGTGCACTACGAAAGTACTATCATGAGTATATGACGTCATTAATTTTGACGTTATTTCCTGTTGCGATTACTGCAACCGGCGAGGTAAAGCACTCGCAGTAATCAAGATGGCTACCTCCATATGTACGGTGGAACTAACCTTAATAGATGCTGAAACTAACAAAACTTATAACGTTGTAGTGAATGAAGCAGACACAGAACGAGCCAAAAATGGTAATTTTGCATTTCTATATTTAAATTTTTTATGTATAATAATTGTTTGTACTGTATGTTCTTATAGTAAGTACGTATAATTATTACAAGATAATCATTAAATTCGTGAATTTCACTTTGCATTCTACTTTAATTTCCTTGAAATTTTAATTTACTAAATTAAATTTATATATTTTTAACATAGTTTTTTTTCTTAAATTAGATATTGTAATATAATTCATAAATTTATAAAATCTTTTATGCTTTATCTTAATATTTATGTCATAGATACAATGTTTGCAACTACGTTGTTGGAGAATGCAAAACAATGCCAACAAATTTATAACGTACCTGATGATAATAATAAGGAAAATAAGAAATCTAGTCAAGGTATGTTCCAAATAGCATTTATTTGAGATAATTATATACTAGGATCTAGTGTAAAATATCAGTAATGTTTTCTGTAATATTCAGAACAGCATAATTGGACGAAGCAAGAGATAATGCTATTGTTAGATATATATACATCTAAAGAGAAAGATTTTCACAGTGGTAAGAATACAGTGAAGCATTGTTGGGAGTCAGTTGCTAATGAAATGCAGAAAATGGGACATGATATTAGTGGACAGAAATGTTGTATAAAATTTCAAGCGATGAAAAGGACTTACAAATCCATAAAAGATCACAACAAGAAATCAGGAAATAATACAAAAAAATGGGAATATTTTGAGGTAACTTTTTTAACTCTTATCTTGCATAATTTTATATCAAACAAAGATCTTATCTATATTTATATATATATACATATATATATATATAGATTTTTGTATAAATGATTTGTATATATATTTCAGCTTATGGATAAAATATTTAGTGAAAAACCATGGGTTGAACCATTAGCAGTTGCTGGTACAAGTTGTAATACTGACAGTGAAAATTCCTCTACAGAAGAAATTCGTGAACAATTAAGTAATAAAATATATAGTTTGTTCATTATAAATACATTTGTAATATTAATCTAACTTATAAAAATATATTTTATCTTTCCAAAGCGGCAGCAAGAAAAAGAAAATTAAATATAGACAATATTTAGAAGAAATGTTAGAAGAGAAAAGATTGAAACGTGAAGCAGATAATAAAAAACACACAGAAAAGATGAAACAACTTGATGATATAAAAAGCTTATTAAAAAGCTAATTGACAAATAGTTTTATATATTTTAATTTTTTATTTTTAGGGCTCCGACACAATAAAAGGAATTTCTTGTTCTTTATGCAGGATTCATACAGCATAAAAATTAAATTTTCTGATTGGACATCGGACGTCGTACGTCGAATATCGGACGCTGTGTGAATCCTGCATTATTCCTTTCATTGTATTTAAGCTCTTATATTTTTGTTTATTAATGAATATGTTTAATGAATGTTGTTTTTTATGTTTATAGATGTTAGGGCCATTCCTACTGTGGAATGATCCCTATGTTAACAAATTTTGTTTAAATTTTGTTTAAATTTTATTTTGTTTTTTAGTTTATTTGTACTTAATTTTTATTTAAAACATTATTAAAAATTAATGTTAAAAAGAATAAAAGATGAAACAGAAAATGAAAATGAAACTAAAATGAAACTTTATGTAACTTTATGAAACTTTCTGTGATAGAATAAGACCTAAAAGACTGTTTTTCATAGTTTAAGTATTTTTAGGTATAAATTAATAAAAAAATAAGACAAATAAAATAGTTTTTATTTATTAATGGTATACAAATGGTATAAAGATTATAAATAAAGTATACATTCTTAAAAATATATATAATGTATTTTATATGTATATGTATTATACAAATAGTTGACGATTTAGAAGTGTTTGGGCGATAAAATCTCTTTTTTGTATGCCTTCTTCTTTAGTTGCACTATCGATAATTTCATGATTTTCATTTTGTCCATCATTAACAATTATAGGTATATCTATTATATCATTATGTAATAAACATATATTATGTAAAATGCAACAAGTTACTATATATTTTGGTATTAAGTCAGTCCTAGTCATTGGTAAAGTATCGAGAATACTTCTAAATCTTCCTTTTAATAATCCCAATGACCTTTCTACAATCATTCGTGAAGAAGAATGTATTTTATTATAATTTGTTTGAGTTTCTGTCAAATGCCCATTATCTCGAAAAAGTATCATAATGTATTTTTGTATTCCATATGCAGAATCCCCCAATAAGTGACTATTTTCAGGAAAATTTTCCTCTGTGCACATATTCTGAAATCCTGATAGTCTGAAGACTCTCATATCATGTACGGACCCAACTTGTCCAGCATAACAGTGAATAAATTTTAGACTTGAATCACATATAACCTAAAAAATATTTATTTATAATAATATTAAGTTTATCCAATTCACACACACACACACATACACACACACACTTTTATGTACCTGTAATTGTATTGAATGATATCCTTTTCTATTTATATAACATTCGGGGTTCTTTTTTGGTGCTGCTATTTTTATATGAGTACCATCAATTGCACCTAATACTTTTGGGAACCCATATCTATTTTTTATTGTTGTCATGTAGCTGTGACTTCTTCCAGGGATGGCCATTTTATAAATGTATGCAAATGGTAGTATAAAGCATTGACTACTTTCATAACACTTCTCCAAGCTGTTGCTCTTCCAATACCAAATCGATCACTTACACATCTATTACAAAAATATTCTAGGTCAGATTTTTTTAACATTGTAATTATATACTTAAAGAAAAAAATAAACTAGATAGAAAAATTTTATATATAAAATTATGAAATATTTACCTGTATGAATTGGGTGTGGCCATCATCCAAATAGCTATTAATAATTGCTTCTCAGGTGTTATTGGATGACGCCCGAATTTTTCTGAGTGTTTCTGAAGATGAGGAGTTAATAATTCCAACACAAATATAAATGTTGCCCGTTTCATCCTGTACAAAGTACATGACTTTTTATAATTTCTGATATGTAATATTTTATTTTTGTATTTTTGTTTAATACCTTACCGAAATGGGTTTTAAATTCCATATCTGAATATAATGATACAATATTTTTAACGTAATTTTTACATTTTATTCTAGGTATTTTAATTTGTCGTCTCATTTCATTTATTAATTCCATTTCTAAATCGCTTTCACTTGATGACTCACTCGAATCATATATATTCTCGATTAAATTATATGTAATTAATGCAATAACGGTATTATCCATTTCACCAATTTTTCACTCGATGATTATTAGCGAAAAAGGTTAGTTACAAGTCTGCTGAAAGCGTACTGTAGTGCGTTTCCGTTTTACTATTTTGCAGTAGCTTCAAAGTGCACAAAATAAAAAGGAACGCTGTCAACAGTAACACTTGCATGACGTCATAGTGCCAGTACTTGCAGCATAACAAAACGCACCCAAGGACCGATAATCACGTGTTCTCCTTGTTCCACTACCGTGCCGGTATACGCGAGATGCCGCCTGAAAATGCTTTCTGGCCTTCCGTAGCAGAAAGCAGTAACGTAGCAAGACTAATAAGCACCCATTTTTGTAAATTTTATATATGCTTATGCACATATGTGGATATATTATTTATATATAAATATATATATATATATAAATATACTAATTTACTCTCAATTATATATGCTACTGTTATTATTTATCATTAGACAATTATAAAACAGAGGTTATAGATTTGGTCTGACTACACTGGCCTCAAATTAAAGTTGTATATATATTTATTTTAACGTTTCGACCATACGGGATGTGGTCCTTTTCAAAAATACAGATTGGAATATCAGAGAGTTACAGCATTTCGTCTTTAAGATGTAAGCGCAAATTATGATTCGGAGAGATTTAACTTGTCAAATAAAAATATAAAATAAATTATAAAACATATACATATATAATTTGTAGTGCTATATATATATGTTTTATAATTGTCTAATGATAAATAATAACAGTAGCATAATTGAAAGTAAATTAGTCTACAATGTTAGACACGGGTACTTGTTAGATTTGATAATTTATTGCTTATACTTTTTCGAGAGACAAGAATAAGAGAACGAATATAAATTATTATTAGCTTGTATAGCAATCATAGATTGACGAATATGCGTTGGTTATTCTTGATTTCTTTTCTATTATTGATATTATTGTATAATTTGCTCCATAAATACTTATAACATAAAGAACTTATGTCGAGTAATATTGATCAATGCAAAGGATGTTCAGTATGTATCACCCAGTAAATTATTAGAGTTCAAATATATCAATATCAATTTTTTAATAATATATTGGAATACAGAGAAATGATAAAAAATATATTTCGGCAATAAAAATTTTATAAATATATTGAAAATATTTTTACTACACGCGCGCGTGCGCGCACACACACACACACACACACACACACACACACCACACATACACACTATATAAATGCAAAATAATACAGAAAATAAATTTTTAATAAAAATCAACATACCAGCTATTTGTGTGTGCATATGTAGCTGCAAGCATGCAACGGATTTATTACTTGATAAATTTATTTACGGACTTATTTTGCATTTATATATATATATAGTGTATGTAATTGTAAAAATGATTAAAATATTTTCAATATTTAAAAATTTTCAAGTTTATCGCCTTATATTTCTATAATTTTTCTATATTCTAATATATTGTAAAAAAATTGATATTGATATATTTGAACTCAAGTTTTTTACGTGATTGAATATTATTGCATTGAGCCATCATACGTTACTCGTAAGTTCTTTTACGTTATAATAGTGTTTATGTAGCAGAGAGAAAGAGATAAGAGAGAGATTATACAATATAACTTCAATAATCGAAAAAAATCACGATAACGCTATTGTCATATCTATGTGTGTGCATATATATAAACTTATATATTATATATTTTATAAATAAGTAAAATATTATGCAGACAATGTATACAATATAAAATGTTCAGTTTGTGCTATGCTTCAATCAATAACACTGGTCGACAAAAAATGACTTTTTTCAGGTTCGAAGATTTCCAAAGCGTATTTTTGTAGATTTTTTTCATGCCGATTACAAATTCGGCCGCAAAATTGCGTATCACGTCACGTTTTTTAGATATCTTGATCTAAAGATGCAAAAATTCGTTCAACGCATTAGTGTTTGTGTCTACATGGATGTTACTACATATGCGATGTAAGAGAGACAAGGACAGAATGATAGTCTCTCTTTGTCAAGCTGTTAGCTGTCAGTATGTTACCACGGAAATTTCCCCTGCTCCTTATGAATCTAGTGAGAATCTTATCGTCCAGATATTTCATAAATAAGTGACATAACTTTGGTTTTTTTTTTTTTAAATATATTCTTGATATAATAAAGTAGTCCGCCAAAGAGTCGGATTTTGCATTTTTGCTCTGAAAAATTTATAATAAATAAAATACGGACTCCTGGCTAACCCAACCTTACCCGTTACTAGCTGCGCATTCCTTCAAGTTATATTATAAATTTTATTTTCATCTTTTTTTCAATAAATAACTCTTTGGCGGACTGCATTTGAGCTTACTGATTAAGAATATCATAAATTTAATAAGATTCATTCAGTAGTTTCGCTAATATCTGGAATATAAGAATCTCTAATTCCCGGCCGGCCGATAGGCGTCTCCACCATGTCGCCTGCCGACCCTAAGCAGGGCACACACTTTTGCATAGGCGCATAAACGTAAGCATAATAATTTTGATTGGTCTATAAACGTATACATAAGAAATTCAACCAATCGATTTTTTATGCATATGCTTATGCGCTAATGCAAGAGTGTGTGCTCCCCGCTTTAATAGTCAGATCGCCAAAGGTCTGTCTAAAGAGGAGACCGTCATTTTTGCCCTTTACCGACACACTTTGCCTTTGGTTCGAGTCCAGGCTAATAAAATCCTTTGATTTTACCAAAAACTTTGCCTTTGGTGCGAGTTCAAACTAAAATCTTTTATTTTTACACGTATAATCAAAGGATTTTAGCCTGAACTCGTACCAAAGGCAAAGTTTTTTGGTAAGATCAAAGGATTTTATTAGCCTGGACTCGAACCAGAAGCAAAGTGTATCGGTAAAAGGCAAAAATGACGGTCTCCTCTTTAGACAGGCCTTTGGCGATCTGTCTATTAATCTGTGGCTGGACGACTTGTCGACCTTTAAATTTAAATCAGGGGGTCGATTGTGTAATTTTTTCTAAAGTAAAAATGTGAAAAGTGAAAAATTTTTTCCAATCACACATCGATTTTATCTTAAAATCAATGCGTGATTGGTGGAAATTTTTTACTTTTCACGTTTTCACTTTAGAAAAAGTTACACAATCGACCCCCAGGTCTAGTCCACAATAGATGGCGTCCTAACCCGTAATGTGAGTACGGCTTAACATATGGCCCGTGAGATAACACTGTCATTGGTCAGGCTGACATTAAACTTTGGGAGGAAGAAGAAGAGGAAGAAAGAAGAAAAAGTTGATAACATTATTATTATTGCAATTTAGAGAGGAATAAAGAGAAGTCTCTTTTTATACTTTAGGTGTGAATTACGTACAGAATTTTTTTTAAGATATTATTTATACTTGTATACGCATTTCTCTATTAAATTCAAATATCTGTTATATCAGTTAAAGAGAATTATTATATCAGAAACGAAGATAATAAAGCGAACATAAAATATAAGCTTTTGGTTAATTGCGTCACTTATCTGTATAAGTATAAAATGTTTCTTTCTTCTGAATATTTCTTATTTCTTTATCATATATGAAATTGTTATTATATTACAAAATAATTACTGCTGTTACGCTATTAGAATAATAAAAATATTTGCAAGAATGTATAATTTTATTTATCAATTTTTCAAAGGTATGATTCTTGTTTCAAATGTATAATACATTTTTTGGTATATTAAAGATGAACAATAGCAAGTTATATATACTAATTATGAAAAATATATTTATAAAAAATAAATTATAATCACATCACATTTATGTATATATAAATAATGTGCGCGTAATACATATGCAAATCTTGTCTGATTATAAAACATAACTTTTTGTATATTTATTTAATAAATTTATTACAATTTAGTTATTTGTTTTATTATTCCATTTATCAAAGCAAGGTATATAGTTGAAAATACAGTATTTAATATATTTTCAATTTTTGAGTAATATGTCGTCTAACTATTTCCATATAAAATATGTATTACAATGAAATAATTAGAGTAGTTTTTTTATTCTTAAGATATAATTGTTGATCTGTGAATTACTATATAACATTTTAATTTTAATATAAATATATTTTTAAAAGTTGACTTTTGATCTAACAATAAGTTAATTTCATATTAATATATATATATATATATATATATATATATATTAATATTAAATTAACTTATTGTTAGATCAAAATAATATATATATATATATTATATATATATATATATATCTATATATATTAAATATTTATGTTTTAATGGCGGATTATTTAGGTTTTCTTAATAATTTATAAAAATATGTACCCAGATAGCCACAGTAATTATTATGACATTATTTTGATGGCAAATGATGCATTTTGACATCAAAATGATGTCATAATAATTACTGTGGCTATCTGGGTATAAATATAAAAATGATTTGTTACAAAATATCTCATAAAAATTAGTGTTGTAAATCATGTAAGGAAATTAATTTCAAATTTTATATTAATGTAAGAATGATTTATAATAAATTTAAGTTTTGTTTATTACTCTTAACATCGCTCGTAAATTGGTCTTTTATTATTTTACTTTTTATTGCGTAATATAATACGAGCTTTTTAATTTTTTATTTTAAATTAGTGTTATTTATTTTATTTTACTCAAGTATATTTTTTATTATATATATATATATTTATTTATTTTATATATATATTTTTTTTAATTTTATTTATTTATATATATTTTTTTTTAATTTAT